AAAGAATGAGAGATAGAATGAAGTTAGATTTATAGATAGAATTGTGAGAAAGGCTTACTCAATAAAGTCCGTAGACTCTGAAGCAGCAGCAAAGTTCGTTACAATGTTGTATGCTGAACTACTTTCAAACTTGGGAGATCCAAACGGTACATCTATACTAGTGTTCCACTTTTTCAGTGCGCTGAGAAATAGTTGAAAAATTTGGTAGAGTATCTGAAACGACTTTTATCTGTAAACCATAACAAGATCAAGAGATTGACAAATAGAAGTCGATTCCTTACATGTAATTCGTCTGTGTCTTCTGTTGTGGACATTAGGCTATGCAAGTCGTGAGTGTCGTTTGCTAATTGTATTAGCTTTTCTTGGTCTGCTTTAGTGGGTCGAACAGAATGAGCAGCATGCGCATCTGAAGACTAGAATTTCAATATTTACTTGAAGGTAAAAATCGTTAGGGCATACCTATAGAGTGGCTGCAACCCCTGCACAGTGCATCGGCGTCTACATTACGGACAAGTTTGAAGTCTACCTATACATTAGTAGTGACAATGAAATCACTGCCCAAAAGATGGCACAAGAACAAGAAATTAACAGCATTGAAATAAGAAAATACGCTTATTTGTCGTTACTTGTCCCCAGTGAGTATTAAGCTAAAATTTTTTAAAATAAATAATATTAAAACGTTAAAAAAGTTCTCGGCAACAGAACCCTCCTCAAACGCGTCTCATTTGAGACTGCAGGAACAAGGCGATTGAATCTATTTCATAACTTACGGAAACAGCCGATATGCTGGATTATTCAAAAAATTATCACCAATTCATCAATAACGAATAAGGAACATAATGCAGCTGACCTATGGCAACAAATTCTAATCTCATACTTACGTACAATTTGGAAAGTAGGAATAGGTCACTCTTCGAACTCCTTCAAAATGTATTCAGACATCTTCAAAGGATTTCATTTTTTGACGCAAATAATTCTAACTTCGAGAGCTTTTCTCAGTC